CTACCTAGGGGGACAGCTTGAGGCTCCTGTCTCAAAAAAAAAAAAATTCTAATAATTTTTAGCAGAATAAATACTGTCTACAACTAAGAAATCAGGAAGTGTTCTAAAATTATTTTGAATTTTGGTAATAACCATCAGAACTAAAAAGAGATAGTTACAAGTGGTTACTTCTGGGGAATGAGATTTAAGGAGAGAGAAGACTCGGGGAGGTTTTACTTTTCGGCTGAAACTCCTCTATACTTATACTTTTCTACCATGTACAGCTACTATGTTTATAATAAATAAATACTTAAATAAAAATAAGGAAGTCACTTGAAGTCTTCACTTTGGATGTCTTTGCTCTTAAAACCCAAATAAAAGAAAAATCAGGATTTGTATTAGCATGCTAATACATGGACATTATTTATCCTCTCCACCAATTTTCACCAAGTGACTACCTCAAACCACAAGCTGGGTGAGGTGTTGAGCAGCAGTAACAAAACAGGACAGACCCAAAGAGCCATACATCACCACTGGGTCCTCCTCATTCTAAACAACTCTGCACAAGGCTCACAAGAATGAGAGCGAACTCATATGGTGAACACTGCAAAAATGCACTCAGAAAAAGTCCAATCAGGTAATAGCTTATCATTTGATACCAAACTGCAACTGACCTAAAATTAAAAACTAAATAATTTTACTTAACAATTCTGTAACTCTTTGCAAATGAATAAGCATTGATACCTCACTCAATCCTTATAACCCTGAAAAGTAGATTCAGTCCCTCTGCTCATGTGAAATCTTAAAAAAACATAACTTCTAAGTGTGACTTGTCTATGGTCACCACACTAGTAAATGAAAGAACTAGAGCCTCTACTTGGTCTTCCTATATTCAAAAATATACAGCATATAATTATCTAATATACAGATTATTCTATTCCTTATTTAAGAACTATACACACATATAGATATCTATTTCTTATACTGTATCAACGTCTCTGTAAGTAAATCCAAGCCTAATAATTTTTTAAAGTTCAATCTGCATTTGAATATCAACTGTAAATGAGGAAGACCAAAAAATGCTTTAAACATTCCACCCAGTGCCCCAACACATTTCAAAGATTGAACACAATCTTTATTGAAATTAATCTGAGTAAAGAATAACAGCCTACAACGCTTAAGAAATATTCCTAATTTTCACAAATAGCTCATAAATTAAATAATAGATTCATGAGTATTTCAAGATAGCCCAATAAGCCTTTCATTAAATTTACACTGACACTGCCAGATTTATCTCTTTTATAAGCTCTAAAACTGAGGAACACTGAAACACAAGAGAAGATGGCATTAATCATCAAGAGTATCTTTCCAGGCCAGGAGTGGTGGCTCATGTCTGTAACACAGCACTCTAGGAGGCTGAGGCAGGAAGCCTGCTTGAGCTCAGTTGTTTTGAGACCAGCGTCCCTACTAAAAATAGAAAAGTTAGCCGGTGCGGTGGTGGGTGCCTATAGTCCCAGGTGCTTGGGAAGCTGAGGCAAGATGGATGATTGCTCAAGCCTAAGAGTTTGAGGTTGCTGTGAGCTGTGATGCCACAGCACTTACCAGGGCGACAGAGTTAAGACTGTTTTAAAAAAAAGAATTATCTTTCCTTTGTCACTCTTAAACATTACTTTCTTAGACATGCATCATGCAAATTATCCCTCAATCTGTGGTCTCCTATAGCACAAAAACGAAGATTAAGAGGCCTTCTAAACCATCTTACTGTCAGACTCACGCCAATTTAAGATCCTATCAGCAGTTCATTAACATTAAAAGTTTAGATTTGAAATTAACCACAAAATTCAACAGCCCATCTCTGACAATGAACTAAGTGGGAGCACAACTCTTTTGGTAGTAGTTTTTTATAATAAGTACCAACTTATCCCATCAGAAAAAATAAAGTTCAATTTAATTCCACAAACTACAAAAGCACAACACTGTGTTACCAGCAGTTAAGCAGAAAAATAGAATCAGCAAAAACAGTGGTTTCCTGCAATGTTTGAAGCCCTTGTCAACTCTTTTCTTGGAGAGGGAGTACATGGAAGAACATAGGCACCTTGCTTTCCAAGCAGCTTACAAGGCACTTGAGCCTTACACACAGAAGAAACATTTGACATTTACTCATAAAAATAAATACATATTTTCATCTAATTTTATGAAAGCAACAAAAAAGCAAGAGCTATAGAACAGAACTGCGTATACAGTATTGCCACAAACCAGTGGCAATATCCACCAGTGTGGCTGGTGGATAAACACTGAGAGGAGGCTTTAATCTGCAGTTGCCATCCTGAGAATGTCTGTGATGTGAAATATCTGCAAATGTCAAAAACCTTTTAATGCCTGCCACATCCTCAAGACAGAATCGTCTGCTCCCTGTAAAGCACAAGCTGGTCAGCTCCTAAGTGAGCTCTGACAATGAACTGAGTGCTGTGTTCATTTTAATTTTGTGTTATGTTCATTCAGGAGTCAGACTGGAAAGAGACTATGTTGTATTGGATTAGGTGGGAGGAGGAAGGGGGATGGGTGTGCTCCCACTTAATGAGCACCGCGTTAGCCTGTATGGCACCTCTTGCTGGGGAGACACCATTCAAAGAGAGACTTTACCTAACAAATGCAAACATTGTAAACTAATTCTTTGTACTCTCAATTAACC